TTAATTATGTGTAGTATAAGTTTCGTAGTCTTTTTAGGTTTCTTACTTTTGCATGTTATTTTTTGTTTTAGCCTGGATGCGTTTAGGCTTCTTAAGGACTAAAATTTTTCTACTTGTAATTATATAAATTATTTAGTAAATAATTTTAAGAATTGAGCTTAGGCTCACTGAGGGTCTCACAAATTTATATTAAATCTTCTTGTTAGGCACCTCCCCACCTGCATCTTATGGCAAATCACTTCACATATTAGGATGCAACTCTATCTTGGGGATATTGTGCAATCTCTAGAAAAACATTTATTTTTTAAATCAAATTTTTAAAATTTTTCCTATCAATTATGTATATAAGATCAATCAGCATGCATTGCATTAGAAACTATTTATATTCAAGTATAATCACCCAATATAAGTAAAAGGGCCAATTATGGCATTCTCTATACATCAGCACCCAATTCCTCAAAACTTAAACAATAGTTTTACCCATATTTTATAAATGATCAAACTCATGATTTTAAAGTTCCTAGGTGGTTAGCTAGCTCCCTAATTTAGGCTAGGATAAGTCTAGGTTTACATGTCATTAGGTAGGTTCAAGTCACTATAGTTTGATACCCAAAATAGATTTAAGATCTAGGGAAGACTAAAAATTGTAAGTCTCCAATTTTAGGAATGTAGTCCCAGCTTTCTAATAAAATGATAACTTGAATTAAAATTCTCTCTAAATCAAAATGTAAAGACCAACACATATGATAGACTGAGACATTTTTGAATTATTTAAAGATCCCAAAATATCTCCTACTCCTTTAATGGCTTCCATAAATAAGTGTTCAAAATTTGATCCAAGCCCTATTGGAATTCCAACCTCATTCCTTTGATATCACTCATTAAGAATTCTAAATAAAATTTCTACTATTATTTCAATAAAGAGTATTGGTAGGAAACTCAAGTTTCCTACGATTTCATTAACTATAAAGGCTTACCTTCATAGGATATTTAATGACCAAAGATTGATTTAAAAAGAATCAATTAATTCTCTTTGATAAAATCGGAATTAAAGACGGACATTATCATTATATTCAAATGATTGATGATAAATGATATTTTTGTTGCTTGGGGAGATATATCATTTATTATCATGATTTTGAATATGAAATTAATGACAACACATCTAGATTATTGTAGCTAAATATTCGATCGAACATCGTTTTGACCCTTCGGGGTCATATGTAGTTCCCTGCTAAATTTGGCTATGATATTCATGATGAAATTTATAATTCTAAATTTGAACCCATTAAGAAAATTTATCCCACCATCTGAGGAGGTATATCATTTCTAATTGTACGTTTGATTTCAGAATTAAAATTCAAGAGCCAACATTCAATTTTTTTCCAAAGAAAATAAAATTTCAATTGTCTTGCACCTTTCCAAAGCAAAGAAAAAACACATGAATCTTGATATGAATATCATAATACTTGTATATAACTATATTTTCACTTATGTCTCCCAAGGTCAATTGTCACTAGGTTAAAGAGACTAACATGATTTCCCTTATAATTTCACTTCCACTTATAACTCTCTTCAGCTTCCCACACCTACATAAAGAAGATGGAGCTAAAAATAACCTTCCACATTCATACAATACAGATTGGGCCAGAATCAGAAGCCAAACAAAACATAAATTTGATCTCGTATAACAAAACTTATAATACACTTTTAGATTTAACAAGTATATATGATTTTAAACATAAATAAGTATATATATGTACTGATATGTGTACGATATTTCAAGAGATGATACATATATAATTTTCATATATGCTTAATATATTTTAATAAAAATTTATTTATAATGAACCTCTAAAAAATCATTTTAAGACTTTTAATAAATTATAGTCAATGTTCAAAATGCCATTTTTAATAAAAAAAAAATACTTACAAATTCATATAGATAAAATCATCTAGTGAAATAATAATTTATTATAATTAATAAAATGACCTGAATAAGACATTCTATAGTACACCAAAAATTGCATCATGAAACCTTTGTTATACTCATTAAAAATATATTTTACTCTATAACTTCTCATAAGAATATCAAAATTAAAATAACAAATAGGGCATTGGGAGCTTACCTCAAGCAAGATGAATCTTTTAACTAGTTAAGCAGACATATCTTTCTCTTTCTTCACCTCTTTCTTCTTCTTCTCTTCATCTTCACCTCTTACTTTTTCGGCAAGCTTAGGGTGAGGGGAAATTAGGGAAATATATTTAGATTTTTATAAATAAAAAGATGTTCAAGTAATCAGCACCATGACACTCTAACCCACAATGCTACAATGCTTGACTCGAATATTCTAGAGTACACATTTTTAATATCTCAGGTGCAACACCCTAATAACTAAATTCGAAAGAATTATCAATTTTCATCTCTTAATCAATTTATCAAAGTCACTAAATATCTATTAATAAAAATAAATACAATGAAAGTAATTATAATCATATTCAACAAAATATTTATATATTTATTCCTTCAAAATTTTATTTACAATAGTGAGGACATTTCAACAATATCAATCTATCATTTCTAAAGCTCATGACCACAAAAGAATATGACAAAACACAAAAATAAAAGAAAGCTTAAAAATATGAATCAGTCTCACTTCAAATAGTCTTGACCCCTTTCTAGACTTTAAATCAATAAAAATCATATAATGAGCTTACAAAACCTAGTAGATTACCAATACCCTACCATTGCATTCAATGTAAGATGAAAGAATCAATATGCATACCCAATTCCAATCAATATAAAACAATAAACTAACAGTAGGAATGTTAAATAATATGTGCAATCAATATCAATCAATAATAAAAAAAACTCATATGATCAGCAAAACTAGAATATCTCAATAAGTAGAAGAAGTATATCAATCTACAAGAAAATTGATAAAAATCTATAAATCAATAAAAGTTATTGTACATTAATATGTATCAATTATCTATCAGTTATATTCATGCTGATGGTTTTATTATATACTTCGCTCAAATATTCTTCCTCTCAATCATTATGTCATGTATAGTTGTATATCAATATGCAAAATCATTATGCTATATCAATATGTTTATCAAAATGTTATATCAACACAATCATTAATGTTTAATAATATGTCAGTCATATATTATGTCATGTTATATCAGTCTCAATACTTTTATAAGTCATATATATGTTACCATGTTAATGCAAACATGGATACAATTATGAATAGCAATACATGACATCCAACTTTAAGATGGTGTTTTCTTTCTTTCATCTGTCATATCAATCCATCATTATCTATCAATCACTTCTTTTAATTATTTCTATTAATCATTTACTTTAACATGTGATTTTTAATACCTCAATAAAGAATTGTCATTCTCTACCTATCAGTGTAATAAATCAAGCAGTTACATGGTAATATCCAGGATTACAGCAAAAATATTTATTTTACAGAAAGCACATCGGTCCACCCTCCTATTCAAGATATTATTATTTTAATAGCCAACATGTATTAATTATAATATTTACATATAGTCTTTCTTAATTATATACTAATGTCATATTTAACTTAAATCAATCATATCATTTTCTCTATACAAATCAATATCATATATGAAATACAATACTCTATGAAATGCAGAGAAATTTATACTATTCATTAACATCATAAAATTATTACTATTAATTTATCTATTGAAACTCTATAATATTACAATCAAAATGCTCAGGATGACGATATCTATCACATATAAAAAATTTATGCTATAAAAGTTTGACAAATCAAGAATATTTTATCAATTTTAGGAGTAATTTTTAAAAATCAAAATCATTGAAAATAGAAATAGGATTCGAGTTATCTATCACTATCAGAAGAAAAACTCAGAACAAAACTGATGGATGAAAATTCTCTAACACAAACTTTCTATCTCAGCACTTCTCTCTTTCCTCGCTTTCTTCCTCAGCAAACCAAATGGAATGAGGGTATGGAGGTGATAGTGAGGGATATTTAATATAAAATATTTTTAAAAGCTGATTTAGTGTCAAGCGTCACACGCCCAACTATCTAATACTGTTGTGCTACATGCTGAACTCAGAGTTACTAAAGAATAGAGACTGCGATGTCATGGCAGTGTCTTCTAGTACTGCAACACACCTACTCCACTACACTTTCTACCACATTGCTGCAACCCAAATTTTTATATATTTTAGATAAATTCATTTTAAATTCTTTGGGTTTTTACATCGAGCTAGTTTATTGCTCAAAACGATGGTGAAATAGATCAAGATATTATTAATAGAAATCAGATTGGAAGGTTGGGCTAGATGAATGCTTCAATCCTATTGTATGATAGAAAAGAACCCCTCAAACTTTTTAAAGAAAATTCTATAAGATGATGTTAAGACCTGTAATAATTTATGGGCGCAAAATGTTTGTCATTAAAAAAGAAGCATAAAATTAAGTTAGAAGTGTTGCAAAGATGAGATGCAATAAGAATAAGTAGCTTTCTAATTAAACACAAAATGTTAAATGAGTATGTAAGTGAAAAGGCTGGAATATCTTCATTGACAAATAAAATTATAGAGAGTTACCTTAAATGATTTGGCCACATAAAATGTCAGCTGTCTGATAACTCGATTAGGAAATTAAATGTATTAAATTAGCTATATTTTATAGCCGGTAGATGTAAATCTAAAAAGACTTTATTAAAAAATTATTAAAAATAACATTTTTTTGTTAAATTTGAATAAGAATTTGAGTTTTAATAAAACATAATAAAAAAATTCACATAATTGACCCCATATAGTTTGATAAAACCTTGATGTTTTTATTTTTGTTTTTGTTTTTTTTATTATTATATTTATTTAGTTATAGACTATATTTTTGTGCAACACGTTATGAATATTTTTTCTTACAAAAAAAATTGTCAACTAAATTCAAGTTCAAACTATAATTTGAGAGCTAAGATTCCCTCGAAAACATTCTTGAGCACTTCCTCCAGAACATATAAATAAAATATTCTTGAGCACTTTCTATACTGTAGGGATAACAAAATATTTACAACTGGACATTGCAAGGCTGCAAGCTTGTAGACTTATCAATTAATCTAAAGATAGAAGTTCTACTAGCTTACCATCACAAATTAAATAAGTGATCATTTGGACCAAAAATAGAATTACTGAACTGTCTTGTATTCAAATCACCACCATCAAGAGGAGAACTAAACCGATCGAGCCATTGGGTTGGGGCCGGGTTCTCTATTTCTTCCACCCACTCTGAAGTCATATCAATGTCATCAAGCATAATTGGATCAACTTCTGAAGATCTAGCTTTTGTCTTCAGCTTCAGATTGTAGTGAACATATAAAAGATCATTAAGTGTCTCTTTGTCAAGTTTATTGCGCTTCTCAGAGTGAAACTGTTGAATGTTGGTCCAGTTTCTATCAAAGATTAAAGCACTGCAAACTTGGTTAAGTATTCTGACTGCAACTCTTTGTAAACTTGGTGCAGAATCACCATATTGTTCCCACCACATCCCTGGGCATGATAAAACTTTATCGTGTTAAGGCTTCGTTTGAGACGGCTTTCTTACTGCTTCATAAAGCAGCTTTTTAGTACAAAACATTTACTAGAAAACTGCTTTAAGAAGCAGAAAGAAAGTCGTCCCTGACAAAATCAAGTTTGCAGCAAATAAAAAATCAAAACCAGAGTTTGTTTGTTCAAATTATGGTAACATACCAGGTGCGCTGTTATTGCGAGCCTCTTTTGCTAGATTGGATCCAAACATCCCTTGTGCTTTCCTAAACATACAGATCTGTGCAGTGAGATCTTGTCGCATATCAGAGGTTGGAAGTAGCTTCTCCAGTACGGCAAAAAAATCTTCTTTAATGATCCCGAGAAATTTAACTTCGGGATTGTATTGGATGCTAGGATTTAAAAATGCAGCAGCGGCATGAAGTGGTGAATGGAGCTGACTCTGCCACCTTCTGTCAACTATGTCAAGGAACGTCTTGCATTTAACTTCATCCATTATGTAGTAAGTCCTAATGGATTCCTTGGCCCTCGTCATTGATTCATATATAGATCCAACTGCAGGCTTCCCACCGGAAACATCCCTTAAAACTTTCAAGAGAGGTTCAGACACACTTGCAATCTCTTCTACTGCTCTCCAGAATTCAATGTCTTCAAGAATATCAATGCAAGACAAACTAGGAGATCTATTTGAATATGATGAGGTCGAGTACTCTGGGCTACTGAACATGTGCTTTAATCTTGATTTCTGTCTCAGCATTGATTGTAAAGTAAGAAAGTTAGATGTGGACTTTGTGATGCCACTGCGAACAAGCTCCTGACTTCCAGTGAACTTTCTCATTAATTCAAGAACCCAAGTGTTGTTATAAATAAATCTAGTTACAGTTTGTGCCTGTAGAATGCATCTGTTGACCCAATCAATCCTAGAGAAGTCTTCCAAGATAAGATTCAAGCAGTGGGAAGCACAAGGAGACCAGAATATTGAACCGTAAGATTGCATGATGTGATTTCCTACAGCAACGCAATTCAAAGAATTGTCCATGATCACTTGAACAACATTTTCATGGCCAAAATCCTGAATAATGGAATCGAATAGATCACAGAGGCATCTGGTATTCTTGAAGTACGTGGAGGCATCAACTGATTTATGGAAGAATGTTCCCAGCGGATATGACACATAGAAATTTATCAATGCTTTCGATTTGTTATCTGTCCATGTATCAGCTATGATTGTACAACCAGTACTGGCCCAATCTTTTTCTATCTCTTTTATTTGCAAGGTTATTTCAGATTTGAGCTTCGGCAACCAGGTGGTTCTCAAAGCATCGACCGTTGGGCCTCTAAAACCTGGGCCACCAAGAGCCTCAAGCATAAGGTGATATGAAGATGAATGAACGACACTGAAATCTAGCTTATTTTCAAAAAAGAACTCAGCTATGCATCGCTCAATATCGATAGGGGACTGTGGCCTAGCTATTATGCCAGAAGGAAAAAGTTTTCCCATAGGGTTTGTGGTATCCATTTGCATAAGAATCTTTGAACTGGATAACATTCCAGATGACTTGGCTTCACCAAGTCGTTGCTTTTTAGCAGTAGCAGCTTCTCTTCCCTCCTCTTTCATTGCTATGATAGCTTTCACCCTATCCGTGACCTCATCTCTCACCTTGCTACAGGGATGAACACCTTTACTAGGAAGCCGAGACAAATGGAACTTCAATCTACTAATGCCACCGTTTAAAATTTTAAGGCAGAATTTGCATCTAACCTTATTTCCTTCTAACCTCTCACAATATTCCCAACATACATCTTTCTCCCTAACCACTGAAACAATAATATGAAATTATAAATTCATTTTAGGCACAAACAGATGCCCAAATGTTAAAAAACTGAATTATCATTTAAAATTAATAATAAGCAAATACTTTAATAACTAAAACAAGCTCATAATGCTAAAACACCAACAAAATCACTCAGACCTTCATAATTGTTGACTAAATAAGCCCAGGTATGTGAGCTCATTTTTTATGATAATAAACATATAATTAGAAATACTAATGTCTACATTAGTGATTTTAGTATTGAGATTATGCATGAATTTAGGCAAGATGCTTGATTACTAGGACATTAAAGAAATCCAAGGAAAAGCTCAAGGCTATTCAAAGCACATTAATTGGAGCTCAAGAAGTCCTGTTTAGGTCATTTGAGTCATTAGGTTGCTTAGTTATCTAACTTTTATTTGATTATACCTTTGGATCAAGCTCTTGATGAGAAACCCTAATTAGCAAATATCCTAATACACTAAAAAATTGCTTTTAATACTCCATATACATCTTATAAATTACTCAAATCAGCTCAAGTAAAAAATTCCTATGCAAATTTTATTAACCTATTACTTAATATTTCCAATCTTATGTTAATCTTATTTATTAAATCATTAAATATATAACTATTTTATAAATGCAAAATTATATTTCTTTTTTTTTTACATAGATAATAAGATATATCACGTTTTATATTGCATATATTCATCAAATTACAAAATATATCAAAACTTCACCTTATTTATGAAATATGCTATCCATAGCTACTCTCAGGCATGCGCACATCCAATATCATGTTGAAACCTCTTCGGTGGCTGACTATTAGGGTCCCCACATGACAGGGAAGCCCAATCACAAGCAAAACTCGTTCCAATAACTAGAAATATATTTGTTACTCTACAAACATCCAAAAAGATTTTCTGAATATTTTTTTCAATTTAAAACTTTTTAATGAAGATATCTAAAAATGTATATTTAAAGAAAATGTTGTGGGATTAGAACCTAATGCTTATCATGCTAAAATCTAAGAAGCCCTACAGTTCTCTAAGTCCTCTCTTACAAAGATTTCAATCATTCTTAAGGGTTATAGACATCCTCCCAAATGCTTGAGAGCTCAAAGATAAATCACTTACAAGCTAAGAAAGCGTTGAAGCAATCAAGGAATTTTTGTAAAATTGTTTCATTTTCATTTTATTTTTAAATAGCATGGAATTATGTATATCATCATAATTAATTTAATAATTTACCTAATATCATTGCATGTTCATGTTGATACATTTGTTAATTGCAAACATGTGGTTGCATATCACCTTATTTATGTTGTACTTTATCATGATTACTCAACTTCTAGTTTAGCATATGTTTATAGCTTATCACATGCACTTGTACACAATATTATTTTATGCATTTAGCTTCCATATTAAATTATGAGAGTTTTAAATAGAAAAGATTATCAAAAGAAACTCTGAAGTTCTCCTAACCACCCCAAACCCCATCCCCAAGTGTTCCTCCATTTGGTGCATCCTCAAATAATAATAATTAGTATCATTAGTATCAGAGCGACTACTCTTGATATGAAAGATTAATAACCTTAAATCAAAGATTACCATAGCACACTTTGTTAATTTGTTTTGTGAAAATTCTTGTGGCACTCCACCTTTGTTCGATAGATTAAATTTTTATATTTGAAATTTAAAGATTTATAAGAGAAATTCATTCTAACCTTTGGTATATGCTTTTGAATGATGATTTTAAATTTTTATAATGAAATTGAATTAATTTTTTTATGCAATTTCCATTTCTTATTTAAAAAACTGAATCCTTTTTAATTCAAAAAACAACGAGGAAATTCAAAATGTTCTCACCCATTTGTTTAATTTTAAGTATAACATAGGTGAGAAAGAAAAATAAGTGTTGAAGGAGGATGTCAAAGCGCTCAATAAAGCTTTACATTGACAAAAGAAGAAGAAACTTGCTTAAGGCAAGAAAACAATGAAGGAAACTTTGTTGAACGTATAAATGAAGATGAAAATGAAAGAAGGGCAACCCTTACAACAATGTCAAATACCCAATTAATCAAAAGTGAATGATAAAGTAAATGATATTTCTTATGAAGAACTTTCAATTACTTTCAACAAATGATTAAATTAAAAGAAAATTATTTATCTAGGAGAAAAGAAACATAATGTATCAAACGATTCATTTCATGATTATTCCACAAGTTTTACGTTGGTTGTCGACTATCTAACACAACACTCCACTTTTCTCATCCAGGACTTGGGACCTGTCAATGGCTTATGTTAAGAAAGGTAGAGGTAGACCTGGCACGTGAGAAGGTTGGAGTAGCTCTACTGGAAGATAAGATTAAAAAGAGTTGTCTTAGATGATTTTGTCACATAAAATGGAGGCCTTCTGAGTTCTGATGACCTGGTTAGGAAAGTAGATGTATTAGATTTGACTTTTGTTAAGAAAGGTAGAGGTAGAACTAAAAAGACTTGGTTGGAAAATATTAGAAATGACCATTCTTTATTAGATTTAAATGAAAATTTGACTTTTAACATATCACAATGGAGAAAAAGGATTCATATAGCCGACCGCACATAGTACGATAAAAGTTTGTTGTTGTTGTTGTTGTTGTTATTGTTTTTTTTTGTTGTTGTAGCACTTCTAATTCTTGTAATCACGATTTAGATTCTATAAATATTAAGATTGATATTTAGGAGAATGAAAATGTAAGTTTAAAGAGCAGAATTAATGATCTATTTATTTCCTCTACTATCACTTCAAAACTCGTTCTAGCTCACAAGCACACGTGTTTGTTTGTTGTAAAATATCATATGTATGCTAGTTTTTTTCAAAGAAAAGTAAAATATTAAAAATCTCTCATCCATATCTTACCAAATACTCGATGAATATATTGTAGTAGATATGGGAATGTTGCATATATTTATGCTAAGATCTATGAGCTTTACAGGCATGGGTTCCTAAAGACACTACTTCGCATTTACCACCTACACATGCACCATCTTCAATATATTCTTATGATAGTGAACCCAAATAAGTTAGGATACCAAAAATCTAAAAAAATAGCTTCATATTGTACATAAGACTAGCGAGGAAATTATAGTGAAAGAGAGGAGTAAACAAGTTTAAAATGTATCATCATAGGGTGTAACTATCATACAAAGTATGAAAGACGTGGCATGAAATATGCATTTGATGACTATTATAACAACGTCCTTAAATTTATGGTTTTTAGATTAGTGTAATTCTCATATAAGTTGAAACTAATCCATTTTCATGCAATTCATGTCATATCTTTAAAATGCAATAATTTTTGTTCTAAAACGTGATTAGGTATTAATTTTATAAATCTTTTAAATTCATGGTTCAGAAAAATTGTTTGTTTTAACATGATTTACAGTTTAGATGTTAACTTTTTATAATAAATGTTAAAATAAATCTAGGTTTGTTGTTCAATCATAATTTAGTTTTAATTTAAAAATTCAATTATATTTCATGATAAATAAAATTTTTTAATAGCATTCAACTACATATCACATGTTTTACTATTCTAGTATTTTTAATAGTTTTGATTATTGCTTAATTTGCACGTGTACTCTGATTAATCCATTTTGAGAGAATGGAATAACTTTATTTAGTTTTAGGGACCAAGTAATTCACAAAATTGATGCAATCATGGCTATGCAACTTGGTTTAATCTCATGAGTCTTGTACCCTTCTCTAATAGCTTCTGCTAATATTGATAAGAATATCTTTATTAAATTATTGAGAGGCATACTACATGATCACTAGCTTATGTAACTTATTGTGGACATTTATTGTTAGATATTGATCTATCTTAGGATGCTTAGTTCAAAGGATGAATTTTAGATTTCATAATTGCCCGTGTTCAAAATTGAAATTTATTGAAAAGTAGGCATCATGATTCAATGTATGATTTGAATTTAGGTGCTTTAAAATTCTTGTCGTGTGTAAAGTTTTTTCTTTTGAATCCTCATGTACTTGCAAGAATTATGTTTATTTATTTTTGTTTTTATTTCATGCAAATTTTATGTTACACCCCACATCACAATATATCATGACCATTGAACATTTTTATTTTTCATTTGATATCATGGTTTATGTCTTTAGAATTTAATTATTATTTGGTATTAAAGAATGATTTTTTATTTAAAAAAAATATTAACGCTAGACCCTAATGATTAAATTGTTTGATCATATGAAAGCTTATTTATTTTAAATTGTTATATGTTTACAATCTTCATTTTAGTAATTTTAAGATGATATAAAAAGAAGGAGAAATTGGTATGTTGGATCACTTGGATGCATACATTAAGATGGAGGATTAGTTTCATAATTTAGGGGGTGCTCTGTAGTTAATAATTTCACAATTAGAATTTTGTAATCAGAATTATATATTGGATCATAAATCATTTTGCACCTTCGTCTTCATCAATTGGCATTAGCCAACATAAGTTTATCATCATGAAAATTGTGAAGAATGTTGACCCATGAGCTAAAGGAATATGTGAGCTTAATTTTGATGATAATAAATGTATTTTTGAAAATATTAATATTTATACAAATTGATTTCAGAATTGGGAGTTCTCATGAATTTTGATTCAAAATGCAATATTATTTAGAGATTAAAGAAAACTAAGGACAAGTTCAAGGATATCAAGAGTACATCAATTGTAGCTAAAGAAGTCTTGTTTCTGTCATTTGAGCCATTAGGTTCCTCAGTTATGTAACTTGCTTTTTTATTACACCTTTGGCTCAAGCTTTTTAACAGGAAACCTAATTAGTAAATATCTTAAAAGACACAAATTATTTTTTTAATATTATATATATCTTATAAATTAGTTAAATAAGCTTTAGTAAAAATTATATTTAATCATATTTTAAGTCATTAAACATAGTTCACATCAACAACACAACAACACCCAGCTTTTATCCCTATATATATATATATTCATTTAATTGTAACATATCAAACTTCACCTTATTTACAAAATCTGTTATCCATCGCTGCTCCTATGCACGGACACTTCTAGTGTGCCGAACCAACTCTAGGGACTCCTTGTTGGGATCTTGGCAAGATGAGGAAGCCGAATCACAGGCAAACTCACACCAATGGCTATAACTCTGTTTGTTATCCCCATGAAGCCTTCTAAAACAATTTTTGGGATATTTTTGTTAAGCTTCTTAGGAATTACAAAGGCTTACATATAGTTAAAACCTTATGATTATAGCCTAATGCGTATCCTCTTGCAAAACTTCTTACAATGATTCCCAAAGGATGTAAACATCCTCCCAATAGCTTAAGAGCTCAAAGATAAATCACTTGCATATTATGAAAAAGTTGTACTAGTATTGTAATAGAGGAAGCTTGTGATCACTAAACACCAAGATCACTTCTTACAATAATTAATTGTGCAGTGACTAGTAGTGTCTTGGTGTTTAGTTGATTCAACAAATTACAAGCTTGTGATTAAAGCTTGTGATTAAGTGTTCAATTATATTGTGCTCAATCTCGATCACTCAACTTTAACTTCTAATTATATCATATCCTATCGGTAATCACCTACACTAGTTCACAATACTATCGTAACTACTAAATTTATAATTGTTCAATTATTGTAGCTTCAGTATTATAATGTAAGGGTATTGAATTGCGAATAAATTTCAAAAGAAAATCTAAAATCTCCCATTGTACCCCTTCATGTGCTCTCATCTATCAATTGATATAAGATAATATACCTTAAACTATCAATTGATATCTGATCAATATATCTTATATTATCACGTAACACTAGTAAATTTTTATTTTTAAAAAAAAGAGCAGAAGAATACTCACTAGCTTATGGTTCTTTCCACCTTTGAACTTGTGGCCTACAAGAAAGTTTGACAAGGCATTGTCAGAAGACACATCTAAAATCTAACCCAGAAGAAATGAGATATAATCAAAATAATTGAATTCCAATATATGTAGTCAGATAAGCTGCCATTTTTTAATGTGGTAGAAACAAGGTAATGAATTATACCTCCCCGGACCATTTTTAAACACAATTTGAACCAAAAAAAATATAATGCGCAATAATCCAAGTAAATACAATATGAATCTATCAAAGCATGTAATATAAAGAAGAATATGGCAGAGTACAATATATTGAGTGAGAAATCTAGATATGAAACAGTAGTCCATTCCCTATAATGTAAGATAAATTTTAATAGTTGACAAATATAAAAGATGTAGACTAGATGATTCCATTGTCCACCCAGAATTGGGATAAATTCCCACCGGATTCCACATGGAATCTAAGAATTGACAACATTTAAATAGGTGCACCATGACATAAATTAGAGATGCGTGCAACAAAAAAAAAAACAATCAAGTAAAAGTAGATGATGCTATCAAGAAGCCATCGGGAGCATGACTTGCAACGAGCATACCCAACTGACAAACTTGTGCAGAATCTCATTTCACAATGAAGTGGACAACGTGAATCTAGCAAGGTAACGTGGGGAACACCAAAGTGGAAAAAAAAGTCCAAGCCAAAAATAAAAACTAGAAAAAAAAAGTATATATTTGACATCGTGTTGACGAGCAAATTCTAGAAAACCTTGAATACGCTAGATGATCTAGATGGATATCAGCAAAGCATAATTAAAATCAGACGATTCTTTCTTCTTTTTTCTGTGAGAAGTGTAAAATCAGACTATTCTTGGAGGTAATAAACTTGGCCAAACTGATTAAAGTCAACATTCTCAGGCTTAGAACATAAGGAAATGTGAAGGAAATGAACGACCAATGTGTCATTCTTTAGCTGATAAAGATGAAATCGAACATTTAATAACGTCAAGCTGTTGCTTCCTCAAGAATTACACTATGGAGGCTCAAGTCCCAAGGAGGATTCTTCTATTTATTGTTGACCCCAGTAATGAAGATGAAAAGAGGCTTCAACTATGGAATCAAATATAAACCAACTCAGTAATGTAAATCATGCCAGTAAAACATAGCTCGATTTGCGAAAAATTGGTAGGGATGAAATAATCTCACTCCTTGAGAAGGACATGGGTAGCTCCAATGACTTTAACGTTCCTGTGAGACTATAATCCAACAGTTCCACAAGGTGAAAGTTGTTATCAGAAAAATATGGTTCCAAAGGTATCTGTTCAACATTTTTGGTGGAAGACATTTTGTTAAAGCATCAAGTTTTAGGCAGAGCTGAGGTAACCGAAGCTCATCCAATCCGCAAATACAGATATTGTCTTACAGTCAAAATGAATAAGTATCTCCCCGTGATTTGAATGATTAACAAGTACACAATGGTCTTGAAACATCATAACCGCTATTCTTTACAGTAAAAGCTAGTGTAATTAACAAGTTGTGTGAGAAAATTCCATACCTTCTATGAAGTAAAGTTCAAGCATTATTGTGTGCTGTGTATAGAGGAAGCCACTGGAATGTGTGTGGTGGGTGGGAGGAGGAGATCACCGTTAAAGGATTATATGAATGTTCGACATAATAACATTCAGATGAAAAATAGCAAGAATGCCCAAATGCTTAATTGTCTAATGCTTATCAATACTTTTGGTGAGGCATCAGTGTATATTACTTGGTGAGGCATTGGTCTCTATAAGAAATATTAGGTGAAACTAAAGTGCTAAGATATGAACACTAGAAATTATAGATAAGCAGAAACTAGGACTAACAAATCAGAAATTCTAGATTGCTAAATGAAGATGCAGAACTTCCAGTTAAGGAACTGTTGCATATTAGACATTTGAAATTACCATGTAGAGCTGAGAGCATAAAATGCATTGGGACACAAGTAACCAGACTGAACCTCTTTGGTTCTCAAACATTACCAGCATCTTGCTTGCCTACTTCCTGGCTAGCAAATAACTTGATGAAGAAAAGGTGAATGATTTAGAGCCCAGTAAGGACAAGTGGCGCACTGAACTTTCCACAATATGCAAAAGAAAAGGTTTTTTTTCCTTTAGGATAGCACAATTGATAAAGCTTTTTTTCAAACAGCATCCACAAAAGTCACATGAAGAAGAAAAGTAGTTAAAGGGTGTGCTACCTAAGGACTGGGCTACCTACCTTTCAAAGCCAAAGGGCAGACAAGAATTCGAGTTTAGAATACAAAATTTCCTAAGGAAGATTATATATATATATATATATATATATATATAATGCTGCCTGTCCTAATATTAGTGTTTAATGAAGAAAGCAAGCTCTTGGGTTAGCATCCCGTCATCTTTAACAACCAAACAGGGAAGAAAGCAAATTGATTCAAGGAAATGGTACTGCCATTGAAAAGATTGAAGTTGCAAGCGCTTTGTGAAGAGATTCAAACTCCCAGGCAGCAAATTAATAGGTTTGCCAAAAGACGATTGAAGAGCTTTACTTTCTTACATCAACACCCCACGGTAACAATTTGAATATAAATAAAAGGAAATTTGTAAATAATTTGATGTTTATTTGTCCTACCATGACAAAAGGCAAGCTTAGTGTTTACTTAAAAGGATAACTTTTTAAAACAAACTTAAAAAAGAACAAATAATTTATATGATCATGTCTTAATTCTAATTAACCATGAGCATCATCCCACCAAATAAAGTAAGCTCATGCTCGAGCTAGCATCCCATTTAAATTTCTTAAGAAATTTAAATCAAATACTTATCTCATTGAAGTGCCTTCAGACATGTACGTAAGACATTTTTTAATATTTAGGATACTGACTTATCAGAAATTAATAAGCCTCTTGATTTATAAGAATACCCTATTAAAGGCTACAAAAGTCCAATTTCATGAGTTCCTCATGTCCTATAGTTCTTAGATATTAATGGCATTATTTTAGAATAACTCTCAGCACAAACAAGCACGTCACTCAAAATCTTAGTCAAATGGGAAAAAAATAAACTCCTTCTAAGAACACTTAGATGACCAAAGAGGACGTGAATAAGCTCAAGTCTAGCTTCCTACACTTTCCCAACATAATTCTCATCTCCTCTACATGACCTCAAGTCTAGCTTCCCTCAACCCAAAAATATATCCAACCTCCTCAAAACTCTCCTAAATATTCCCCCATGTCCCTCATAATCTTCCAATGCCTCAATTCCCCAATAACTCTAAGATATACACTAGCCAAAAGACCAATATAAATAGAAAATTTTATGTTGTAAGCTATTAGATAAAAACTAACACAATTTCTTAATCATTGGTTAAAAACCAATAAAATACAATCTTTAGCTCCATAACATTCCAAACCTTTGACATTGAGTTTCTCTCCTTATCCCTCTTCAATGAAACTTTCTATTCGATGGCCATCTCATTAGTGCTCATGTACCCTCAACACGCCTTAGCTCTCAACGAGGCATTTTCACTTTTTCACATATGAAAGCCCTTCACACGACTACTGGCTAAATGTGCTTAATTATATATGCAGTCAATCGTTGTGCAACTTACCCGCTATTGCTACAACTTTGGAGCTCGCTACTGTTTGGGCATCTCGCACTAGCCTCGACACCTGAGATTCTCGTGTGTTGCTTCTTGAGGTTCACCGCTTCATTCTCGAGCAATTTTTTCGCACATAGTCCCTTACCTGCTCATGCACAATTTGTGATTTTGATGGTGACCCGCCTCCACCTTCGTCCATGGAGCTCGTTCTCCATTTTGCTTCCCATAGCTTCTTTGCCTCTTTTGTCCATATATACTTCCCGATGACAAAATCGCATCGTGTTATGCAATCATCAATTCTCATCGCCTATCGTTTGTGGATGATTCTATAGTTAATGATGAACTTTATGATCCTTCATGCCATATCTTATTCAACCCCACAGTTTTTTTACTCCCATTTTTCCCTTTACTAATGCCATTATGGGGCAAAGTTCCTCACAATTCAAATTGTCTATCGATTATTCTAATTTGGTTCATAGTCTATTAAGCATAAGTAAGACACTACATTATATGATAAACCCGTTCTAATTTTTTTTAAAACAGCGTTTTTTTAAAAGCAGCATTTTTAAGAATAAAGGTGATGCACAAGATTGTGCGAATTATAGAGGAATTAAGTTAATGTGTCATACTTTAAAACTATGGGAGCGAGTTATGGAGCATAGGTTGCAGCGTGATACTAATGTTTCTCAAAATCAATTTGGATTCATGCTGGGTAGGTGAATTATGGAGGTCAACATTAAAGGCTAAAGGTTTTCGCTTGAGTAGATCTAAAACGGAATATATGGAGTGTAATTTTAGTAGTAATAGACCTAGTGAGGGGATTGTGACTTTGGGCGATCAAGTCATTAATAAGAGTACACGTTTTAGGTATCTTGGATCTATTGTTCAGAGTGATGGTGAAATAGATGGGGATATTATCAGCAGAATTCAAGTTGGATGGTTGAAATGGAGGAATGCATCGGGCTTGGTATGTGATAGAAATGGAAGCCTCAAACTTAAGGGAAAATTCTATAAGATGGTAATGAGGCCTGCAATGCTTTATGGTGCTGAATGTTGGCCATTAAAAGAGAAGCATAGTACTAAGTTAAGTTTGACAGAGATGAAAATGCTCAGGTGGATGAGTGGCTTTACCCTTAGAGTAAGGATACGAAATGAGCATATACGTGAAAAGGTTGGAGTAGCTCTAGTAGAAGATAAGATTAGAGAGAGTCGCCTTAGATGGTTTGGTCACATAAAACGGCGACCTTCCAATGACCCGGTTAGGAGAGTAGAGGTATTAGATTTGACTTATGTTAAAAAAGGTAGAGGCAGACCTAAAAAGACTTGGTTAGAATATATTAGGAATGACCTTTCTTTATTAGATTTAAACGAGAATTTGACCTTTAATAGGACACAATGGAGAAAAAGGATTCATGTAGCCGACCTCACGTAGTGGGATAAAGGCTTGATGTTTTTTGTTGTTCTTGTAGCGTTTTTGATCTAACATCTCCATTTTCCTAATACTGGATTGGTAAATTTGTCGTTGACCGCAAGACCTTGGAGATCATTCATACCTTCATGGTTAATCTTTGTTTCTTAGATGATTACGTTTTTGGACTTATTAATCATTGTTATGTGCTCATCAAACTTTATATGGAAGCATATTATTCTCAATTTTTCTCTCGATGTTCTTATTATGTGATTGCTCTTCAAATATGTAAACTAAAGTGGTCTACTTACTTTAATACTTCTGAGAAGCTCCTAATTACCATTGTTTGTATTGTTTTCTCTCACCTCTTGATCCACTACTTCAATCAATCCACCGTATACGCAATGGGAATTTTTCACAATCCAATACAAGTGGATGTTTTTACTGCTAGATTTTCTCAATCGTAGATCGTGTTCTTGTTCAGGAAAACATTGCTACCCTTTGACTCAAAAAAATATTAATTGACATCCCCTCACTTGGTCATTAACAATAGATGAAATTGTGAATTTTGTTAAATTTTGGATATAATTTTGTTGATCGGTTCAAGGCCCTTTGAAATTAAGTAAATCATCCTTTGGGTTCCTAAATGGTGGGGTTGGCTTTTATATCACAATATGAACAGGGACACACATTATTTGTGTTGTAAATGTTTATGATCAAATGGATCATTCTTCCTTATCCTTGGTCCACCAAGATAGTTCTTAAGCTCTAGATATTACTCTACAATCTTCTTCTAAGTTAGTGTATTCATTTGATGTTGATAGTTTGTTAGAAGACAGTATCCATACTGCTCCTACATTTCTAATATCACCAACTTTGGATGTTAGAACTTCTAATCCCTCAGGCTATGCTTGTGTTTGATATATGCCATTCAGGGTCCTTTAATTACTCATAATGCTTCTTCTCCTTACAGTATTACAACTGTGTTCACAGATACTATGGTTGATTGTTCTGATGTGGAAGTTGTTGATGATTCAAGCTCTGTCCAATCTCATGATTCTATCGGAAGTTTAGCTGGTTAACTAAATAAAAGGTTCCAATTAATGTTTTCTCATTGAGATAATAATAAAAGAGTCTATCTCCTTCTTCTAGATTTGTTGTACTCCAAGCCAAATGTATTAACTCCGGCCCTATTGAGGGTCGTTTTGTTACTCATTTTACTTCTTCTCCTAGTAATACTATAATTATATTCATAAATGCTACATTTGATTATTTTGATTTGAAGGTTGTTAATTATTCAAGTTTAGTCCAATCTCATGATCCTATTAGAAGCTTATCTGATTTAGTGGATAAAAGGTCCCAACTTGTCTTTTCTTATTAAGTTATTAACCGCAAAAAGTCTTTCTACATTGTTCCAGATTTTTAGATTCCAAACAAAATGAAAGAACCCTCTTGATGATTTTGGAATTCTAGACTTAGGGGTTGTTTGGTTGCCTGCAAAGTAAACGCGATGTAAAGTAAATGCAGTGTAAAGTAAATGTAGTGCATTTCAAATACTTTGAGGCTGTTTGGTTGTCTGCAAAGTAAACGCACGAGAAATGTTTCCCTTGTTTGGTTAGATATATCAGAGTAAAGTAAAAACAATGCATTTGTAATATTATTTTTTTTTCATTATAACTTATGTATTTTTAAAAGTAATTACCAATTATTTAAACTTCGTTTGGGATTGCTTAAAATTTTATTATTAATATGCAACCATTTATTTAAGTTTTACAACTCTTTTCCCATTACCTTCTCAGTAGACTATTCCTTAAGGATGCTTTTGTACCAAATTAGACATCCGTTTATTACAAACAAAGGTAATAGTCTATTGTGAAAAAGTTTGATAGCTCAAAGAATTTTGGAGTTTTAAGAATCTAATGTGGTCATCTTATCCACAGGAACTTGTGAGGAAAATTTATGGGATTCAAATATGCTAGCAATGAGTAAAGAAGATAAGGAAGAGATGAATACTATCTATTCTGCTATAAATGCATATAATCAAAGGCCTCTCCAAAACTTTAAGAGATGTGTGGTCAAACTATCATATTTTGTCTTCATAAGAATTGGAGCATCATGTTTTTAGGAAGTAGAAAAATGCTAGCTTCTTAGTTGCAAACAAAGTAAGGGGCAAGTTTATGGGAAGGCTTCAAGAGAGCATCAGGCATGCCAGCCTTGTATTTCATAATATACCCCAATGCAAAGTTGCGTTATCATAGAATTCATAACGAGGATAGATCCACTTCAAGGATACTTGAGTTCAACACTAATAACACATTCAATATTGATAGATCTAGCTTATTGTGCAACAGTTATGCTTCAGAGTACTTACATGAGTATTCAGCTCAGGTGTCATTTGGGCTTTAAGAGATTGCGTGAAGCTTAGCCCTTTCAAGGCTTTGGAATTTGGGAGAAGAGCCGCAGAGAAGATCTGATTTTTGTTATAATATTAAGTCAAACGTGAGAATTATTAATATTAACTCAACCTTCTAGTAATTGTTGCAATGTGTTGCATAGAATCAAAGTCAGATTGCATAGAATCTATTATGTATGGAACAATATTTATGAAAATTGAGAGATAAGCTAGATCATATCACAGCACTTATAATGTGTGACTTATGTTAACCTCATTTCTATATGAGGTAAATTATCCAAAGTTAAATGTTCAGTTATCTTCATTAAACTCAAATCATGGTGTTCAATAATTTGAATTTTATCCAATCTTGTAATTTCAATTCAATTACTATGTTTTGGCATGGTGTTTAATCATTTAAATTTAGAATCACTTCAATGATCTTCAATCATTTTAAATGTTCAATTCTTCAACCATTGACAATAATGTAAAAATTGTCATTGGTTCAATCATTAAACCTTCAATCATCCTTAAATCATTTAGAAAACTTAAATCTCTCAATCAAGTTCAATCATTTAATCAAAGTCAATTTTAAAATTCAAAGTTCAAAATCCAAGTTCAAACCTAAAACCCTAAAGCCTTTGAATTTTTCCCTTTTTCAAGGGGATTTTTCATTAGATCAAAACCCAAGGTAAAGCCCTTGCAATTGCATTTGATCATTCAAATATTGATTAGACATACCCCTAGAGTTTACCTAATCATTTTGGAAGCTTTCATACCCTTTCAAACTCTAAAACTCAAAGCCTCTTTCCTAGTTCCAAAACCTTCAAATATTTACCATTCATACCATACTACATGGCATCATGATTCAAAAGCTTTGGAAACCTAGGGAAATCATTTAAACATGTTCATAATCGTCCTTGTAATGATTTGAACCCATTTAGGTTCATGAGTGACCTTGGTTGACCTAGTTTAACCTAGTTTGACCAAATAAAACCTTAAACCCTAAAAATCCTTTGATATGCATGAAGCATAATGTAAATCTAAATTTAAGACCTATATTAGACCCCTAGGAAGCTTTCAATCATCATTGATAATACATAACCCAAAGTGAGCCATGGTCAAGCTTGATTGAACATGATTAGCCATTTTGACTATTAAAGTACACTTTGAACGTAAGCATTCAATCATGTATATATGTTCAATTAAACTTTGCTAAAAACCTTTTAAACATTAAATCATGCATGCCTAAACTCAATTGAACCCTTGGTAGACTATAGTTGACCATGGTTGACCAAATCCACCTTAAACCTAAACTTGATCTAAATGAAACATAAATGCAATTCAATGAAAGGAGACTATGGACTGGCCTACAATCACTTACAACAAGTTATAAATTCCATTTGGAACACATTGGACCCAATGTCAAAGCTTGGTCAACATGGTTGACGAAGTCGACATAGGTTGACCAAACTTGGTATAAGGGTTACCCTCTTGAAATTCAAGTGATTTAGATGAATTCAAGGCCCCAAAATCCATTGGAACTATTCATTTGGTGCCCAAGCAAGCCCAGCCCTTGGGCCCACTTGGTTTAGCCACATGGGTTGACCCAAGTGAACCCAAATATTGTTCATTGAGCCAAAACTCAGCCCTTGTAAAATTAAATCAATCAAATGCATGCATTAGGTGCCTAGGGACCCCATGCACCAACCCTAGCAGTCCCATCCCATGGGTTGACCTGGGTTAGCCAAAGTCTCCAATTTAAACATTGCATGAGCCATTTTGCAACCTAGGTTGAACCGGACCAATCCAACCCATGCATTTTGTCTTGAGAACATTCCAAACACCTACCCACTTCATCTCAGTCCAGGTGGCAGACTAAGGTGGCCGGAAAACAATGAAATAACCCTTACAAACCATTGGTTCACTTCAAACTTCCAACTCAACTACCCACATTGGACTGCTCCCTCCAGTGAGCCGTAAATACTTCATTAGACCATCCAAAATTGTAATTGCAGCTTAGTGCAACCTCAGCTGGCCGGATTTCAAACTTAAACCTGAAGCAAAGATCCTATAAATACTATGATTTCAAAGAAGAGAGATTATGTTATATTCCACTAAAAGACTCCTTGGAAATCTCTGATCAATTCCCTAGTTTCCCCCGAGTTTAAGACTCCTTCCTATGCAAAGGTGACAAAGCTCCAGCCATCCCTTCCGTCCAACAATCAAGTTTGCATACAATACTCCTCTACCTCTGCTACCTGAAGGACAAATATTCCTTAGGATCAATCGAGTGGAAAGCAACATAAATCCCCATCAATTTCCCTTTGTATTGAGGTAAAATTCAAACATAATCCTTCATTCACATAGGTTTGGTCAAGTATGAAGTATACTTCCAATCCACAACAAATCAGCCTTTGGATTAGAATGTTACGTCCAGATGATGTTCTGGATTAATTTTGAGTGAGATTCCACCATCTAGATTCCATGGATCTTGCATAGAAACGTTCATGGCTGAGAAATCAAGCGGGAAGTAGAAGAGGAAATCACTACCACCAATTTAATTCAAATTAAATAGATGGTACTAATTTAGTCGAATATATTTCCTTCTGTCCACCCGTGGTTTCGAGTTGTTATCATCCAGTCATTCGATCTCTAATCGAATGGCTGAGATGATTATCGCGCTGTCAATGGGGGCTCGACACTTATTAAAGGTCCAATCAAAACTGGCCATCTATAAAGCGCATGCATAATCAACCCAACTGACTGTGTAATCCATGGATTTAGGCAAATTAATTCAGAAATGATCCAAAACTTCATAAATTATAACTCCTCAATCACTTGACCAAATTAGGAGTTTAATAGCTCTATGGATTCAGCATTAGTAGTACTATAAAAGGCCCCTATGGTTTGAAGGCTTAATAAAAAGTAATTTCATAAATACTATCCAGTGTATTTATGAAATTATTTAGTTTAGTTAAATCCAATTGAGTTCAAATTGACAGTGATGATTCTTGGACATGTTATACACATGTCCAAAAATATTCAAGGCAATTTGAATCCAATCAAAGACTTAATTGTAAATTTAAATCCCTATGTCAGATTTGGACCTAGGAACTCAATTCAAATAATTATAAATTCATGGACCATTTAGGGATTTGCTTTTATGGATTGCTAGATATGTGTACAAAGGTTAGTTAGCCACTGATTTAATACCAATCCTTGGTCTAGAACACCCATTATGAATTTTTCAAAATATAGATACATTTATTTTAGAAATTCACCATAAAACCTAGAAAGAATTTGATGAGCTCAATTTCCTATGATTTATTCTATGAGTTGTCATTGGCTCCTGGTTTAAATTTCAAGTTAATTGGAATTCATTTGATTTGTCATTTAGTGAACCCTAATTTGCACTACATAAATGACCTAGGAATTTTATTAAATTAAAAAAAAAGGAATTTTATTAAATAAAAAAAAGAAATTTATTAAATTAAATAATTTTTTAGAGTTAATTAAAAAATAGGAATTTTATTAAATTAAAAAAAAATAAAAAATAAAAAAAGAATTTTATTATATTAAAAAATAGGAATTTTATTAAGTTAAAAATAAAAAGCAAAAAAAAAGGAATTTTATTAAATTTGGAGTGCGAGCTCCACTAGGGTTTCTTTCGCTAGTTTTTGTTATCTCAAGGAATCTTCTCTTTCCCTCTTCTCCTTTGTTAGACTTTTGTGTTTTTTCGATTGGTTTTTCGTTTGTTTTTTCTGATTCGTCCACCTCCGACCATGCAAGGCCAGAATGGCGGTGAATTGGTTTTTTTATTCTGGTTTTTTGGATGGGTCAAAGAAATCGCGCTCTTTCTTAGATGCCCTTTCCAGTTCTCCCTCTAATGTTTTTTTTCCTAAGCTCAAATCGTCTACGCTCCGTGGTTTACCCTCTTTGTGGATCTCGAAAAAGGAGATCCTTGCGCTTGCGGCTCTTGTCCAATTTGCTTTGGTAGATTTTTTTTCTTCCCACCATCCTAGGCTTGAGTCTATCTGTAATTTCTTATTCAACCTTAAGCTCAATGAAGAATTTTTGGTGACCTTGTTGAATATGTCGCATGTTCTGATTAAGTAGATAATGATATAGAGTATAGCAAAGTATTTTATCACAGATCTTACTTTGTTTACAATTGTTACATGAAATCAACAAAATGATCTCCTTCTCTTGATATTGATGTTGAGTATGCTGTTATTCACATTTGGGTTTCATTTCCGAACTTAAGGCCACATCTCTTTTCTCCCTTTATTCTTCATGCTCTGGGCTCACCATTTGGTCATCCGTCAGAGGTCGATAATGACACCTCTAATGACCCTCTGTTGCGAGAGTTTTGGTTAAGCTTGGCATTACAAAAAAATATCCTGATAAAGTGTAGCTTGGTCCTGAAAAGTTTGGGTACATTCAGCTTATCGAGATGAAGGATTTACCTCTTTTTTGTGTTTACTATAAATGTATTAGGCATGTGGGGATGGATTGTCGCCCCCAATCGTCTGTCCCGGTGAATGTTTCTACTATTACTACTAATCTTATTTCATCTGATGGGAATGCAACTGGTGTTATGAAAATCTGCCGATAATTTAGTTACCACTACCTTAATTCCTGCTTTAATGGGGATAATTCCATTGAAAATGTTAACATTGTGGATGATGTGTAGTTGGCGACTGTGAAGTCCTTGTGTAATAATAGTGATGGGGTTGCCAACATAGTGGAACCTAGGATGGGTCAAGTTAGTAGCCTTATGAAGGAGTTGGGCTCGGCTATGGCTATTAAGAATGGTTTCACTTCGGTTTTGGTGGCTTTAGACTTACATTATGAGTATGTTGTTGAAAACCATAATAATTCTAAGACTATTTGTCTTTCTCATGTTGATGTTACTATCCTATCATGAATAGTGGTGTGGTTGATGGTGTACTTAACAATGTGGATGCCGGTAATGGTTTGGTTACTTTGGTTCCTATTACTGATATGCAAACTCCTATGGATTGTGAATTCAATTAGGTGAATATGGTCGATCACTCTTCTGATAATGATAATGC